TGATGGAAACTCCGCTGTGGAGACTTTTAACAAGCCGATTTCAAAACACGGCAACAACTACTTAAAAATTACCTGCTCGGAAAAAGGAGGGACGTGAAAAGATTGTCACTGTAGTTAGAAAAGTTGCAGCTGAATCCACAGCAAAAGGGAAATGGGTAGGATTTTACTGCACGAAGTATAGCTGGTAATCTCTGACCAATTAACCAAATTCAGAAAAACAGGATAAAAATGGGTTCATTCACAAGAAATGCTAGTCAATCACCAATGTTCAATGTTCAGCCAAAGCAACGAAAGAATTTAGAATTCGCACAAAATCTTTTCCAAAAACAAAGGTGTCGTAATTACAACCGACGGGAAAACACGAACGAGCCCCGAGATGAATACTGCAGGCAAAAGGCAGAAGAGCTTTGGTCGGAATGGGAAGACCGTCTGTATAGACCAACCCAAAATGCGGCTGCGCTGTGCGAGGTTTCGGCGTCGCACAGCGTGCCGGGCATTCTGCAATCGCAAGTCAAGTCGCCACCCCTCGCTTCGAAAAATGAAAACCGTACACGCTTCCTTATAGCTACCATATGACCGAAATATGTTGCGAACGTATACCTTGAAGACTTCTCGCGAGACAGAATCGGGTTTATGGGCTGAGCTTTATAACCCAATGTGGATTTCATGTAAAAGATATCACGGCTTGGTTGTTCACTGCTGTTATGTCTATATTACGCGAGTTATGTACTTTCCAAGAATGGAATAAAGATATCTGATACATTATAAACGTAAATATTAGTACCACAACATGTTTCAATCCCGAGGGAAGGCAGCTGAAGCATTGCCATTATTTGCATTTTTTATTTTTTGAAAGAAAATCAGGTAGGCCTATAATCGTTTAGATCAACGTACATTTCTCACTGCGGCAGTTTTCATGTAGTGAAACAATCAACCTTCAGTTAATTTCTTGTCATTAAATAATCTGTCGGAATTGGACGTCATGGGTGTACCATTTCAAATGACAGCTGTTTTCGTGTTGCTCCGCTTTCGTTTTCGCAAAAACCGCGAGGAACGTTTTTGGACAAGCAGCGACAACAGGATTCCTCAAAAAGAGAATCGCAGGTGTACATGTACGTGTTTGGCATTATACCCACTCTGCAATTAAAAATATTAAGTCATTACTGGCAGAAACTGGCTCTTAGTCACGTGGGAAAAACAGACGTGAGCGTAAGAGAAGTTGGTTTTGCCACCTCTAGTGGCCTATTTATCTCATACATTGTTAAAATATGTTTTGCTACAAGGAAGAAATGTCATTGAACTGAATTTTGAGCCATTCCGCATTGTCAGTCGTTCGCCGCGTTCCATTCCACTCTGCAAGTTTTACACATACGAACGCGAAGCGCACTGAAAACGTATATGTGGAAAAGCTCCTTAGTATTAAAAACCAATGAAAACTTAGATAAAGCAACGAAATTCTTTAGACAATGAACCCATGAAAAAATTAAAGACATGATTGTTCAGGGGCTGTCAAGGATATGAAAAGGTAAGAAATTAAGACGTGCACAACCATATTACACTGTCAAAAAGATCTCCGGTTACAGAGTTGCATCATCTGACTGTTATTTTCCTCTATTTGAAATTGAAAAGGTAATTTTAGTCAAAGTCGGGAAGATGAACACACAAAGTTATCGGGGCTCTAATGTAAAAGATCCAGCCATTTTTAGCCGTCTCAAGGGCGAGGCCCTCTCTGTAGCATTGCAGGGTTGAACCCAGCGACCTCCTCAGGCAAAACCCGCTACCTGACTTGCGGACCGGTCACAAGACATTCGAATCTATGTTCGTTCCCATCCCGTCTGTGAGTGGGTGCCTGTGTGTGTGTGTCTGTCTCCTTCAGTCTTCCTCGACACGGAATGAGCGGTGGGTTATTTCCCGTTCGCTCTCACACAAATTACAAGTTGGAATGGAGGGAGGAAATTTATCGTCTTCTCTGACCCCTCCGACCTTGCATTCCGAAAGTAAAAAAATGAAGTAGTCGGCCAACGCAAAACAACAAGACGAACCCAGGTAAATCACTGTCTGCCCGGTCTGTTCGTTATTCTAAACTCTGACCTCTGTTTGTTTATCATCTTCTTTCCATGGAGGAACATCCAGGAGTTCCAGAATGGGGGAGGGGAGAGGAGAAACGTAAACCCTTTTGAAAGAAAAAGAGAAAGAAAGGGTTCAAGAGCGTGGGGGAAAGGAATTTGGGGGTGTTTAGGAATGTCAAGGAAAGTGTAGCGCGCGTATGAAACTACCGTTTGGGCTTGGGGGGAAAAAGCTAGCAAAAAGCAAGGAAGAATTCGTCACAGGAGCCGTCTGTTTTGGTTATTTGAAGAAATATGATTGGGGCTCGCAACGGGCCACTTGTAGTTGGGGTTTAATGAGGGTCGTGTTTAGAAAGAGGGGTGAAAACACGCGGAGAAGGGCACGTCTGATGTGCCTTGTTTATTGCAGTCATAAAGATATGTTTTTCTTTCCTGTTTTCCTGTGAAACCTTACAAGATAACATCCGAAGTTGGCAATAATTGGGTACATGAAAAATGATGCACTGTTACGGTTTATGTGTTGGTCTCCATAAACAAATGTCCAACGGTCAACGATCGGACTTTCTGGATGGTTCCAAAACTTTTCAAAAACTTAGACAAGTGTCCATTTTCCGCTGGATTACGTCTCGAAAATAATTTGCTAATTCAAGTGTGAAAATAACTCTTCCCGAATTACACTACATACAAAAATGATAAGAGTGAAATTTATCAGATTGATTGCGTTCCCACTCGGACTCCTTCTAACTCTCTAAATTTAACACTTGAATTAGTTTCACCGTCGATCGACTTGTCGCATGTTCAGTCTTGGTGACAGAGTGAAACGTCGCTCTTAATGGAAAGAAAGAAAGAAAAACCTGTCAATATAGCACATTAAGAATTAGTACTTTGTTGGCAACGCCAAAATTCTACTTGTACACTTTGAAAACGATGAGGGCATATTGAAATGCAATTCTTAAAATTTGTTGTTACTGCCAAGAGTCAGATCAGTTCACAAAAACGGCAAAACTCCATTCATCTACCTTAGAAAGTTTTGAGACATTTGCCGATTTTCTTTCAACGAAACCACATGGAAACCTATTCGATATCTCGCAGAGCTGAATAAGATGACTGTCAGTGAGATACTTTAAGTCACACTTAACGCCAGAGATTAATGTAAATATATTAAAAACTATCAATTTGGACTTTGTTTGTGTAGAATTCGTTTGCAGCAACTTCCCGGGCCAAACAAATCTCTCCTTGCCGGCTAATTGGTCCCGCATGACTTCTCACGAAGCCGCTGACCCGCATCAGAGCATCTCCTGAACCGGCTAACGAGGTTCTTTGTAGGTATGTGGCAGACACGCTGTAACCGGCTCGGCTAAACCTCTCGGCCACACTCATTCCGTAAAGACCTGGCATGGTGTTTTACACAAACGGTGGACATTTTTTTTTGATTGTGTCCCGTGCGTATGATTTGATGAGAGAGGAGGATTTCTTTATTTGTAGACGGGGACTCTGAGCCCCCGATCACGCGGTGGCTTCGCTCGTCAGCTGGCCGGTGTGGGCCCCGGGACGAGCCAGTGTTTATGGTGAAGAGGTCCGGACGGTCGGTCGCCGGTAAATTATGCTACATCGGGGTTGAAATACCGGGCCCAGATATTGTAAATAAACGATTAAGACTGCTTAGCGTGGCACATGGTCCATTACTGTTTGAATAATGAGACATGGCCAAGTTCAGAGATGATTCTGGTCTCATAAATTTATGATGAGAAACAGGAAATGTTGTCACTTGGAGTCCAGTGCGTGTAATTTCGTTGTGACTGGTGTAAGCAAGCTTAATTGTTTTGTTTTAACTGACTGGGCCCTCCAAAAAGAAAAGTAAGATACAAAACTGCAATTACCACAAAGAGGAGCATAAATTGAGTTATTAATAACATCAGAAGCAACAGTGATGTAGCCGGAAAGACACCAGCAACACCAGCCTCTACTAAACGAATTATAAATTAAACGACGCAGCACAGACTACTTTTAGGACGAACAGGCAATCAAAATTATGTATGAACTTCCACAGTTTCCGTCAAAAAATTGTCGTAGCTGTCTATTATCTTTCCATTTTCCTTCATCACTACCCAATTCATCAAAATGTTAGATCAGCGAAAATGTTTCTGAAATCAATCAAGCACAGAATGCAATCATTGCTCTTGGAAGAGAAAAAAATGGCATGCTTTCCCGAAACTGAAAAGCTGTCGATAAATGGGTGTGTCATGTGAAGAGAATTCCAGCAATTTTTCTGCAATTTATTCACTGGTCATTTTCTATCAATCTTGCCAGTTCAGACATTTTTACAAGACCTCTGACCTTCCATTTTTGTCTCTAAGGTCGCGGGTTAATCACCTCATTTTTCTCTCTTTTTTATGCGAGTTTCCTCATCGACCGTGGGTGTCAGTTGTTATTACTTGCACATGTTTACGTGCCCCGGCCGAGGTCCGGAGGTGTGTGATAGAGGGACCGTGTCTGATCCGGTCAACACACCGATGGAAAGGCGTAAATCACGGCCAGGGCCCTCAGCAGATGTGGCCTGGTGTTTTTTTTTTTAATTTTTTTTTTGTTTAGCAGACTCCGCCAAATTGTGTTTTCCCACTGCTGCGTCGAAAATGAATAGGGAAAAAAGAAACACCGCGCGGGGTGCGGTCAACGAAATGGCAAGATTTTCCCTCCAAATCGCTAGCTTTTCATGATTTATTCCTGTTATTTCAGCAAGAAGTGGTCCGATTAATAACAATTGAGAGTCTGGGGGATGGGGGGGGGGGAGTTAGGCAGGGCCAAATTCGGTTAAGTATATACGAATGTCTTTTGTCAGAGAGGAAGACCTGACAGGATCAAGTGCTTGGAGTGTGTCACACCTTGTCTCGCCAATAAACAGAATGGAGCTCAGCGGGGAAAGGCAAAATGACAAGCGGTGGACTACATGGCAAGGACAGGGTCGGGTGATGTATACTGTTTTGAAAATTTATTCAATGGGGCCATTGTGTAAGTTTTCACGTACTAATGGCAAATTGCTTTCCCCCGTCGTAAGAGCAACGACTGTTTGGAACATTTAAAAATTGTTATGAAAACAGGTTGGACCATTTAAAAATTGTTATGAAAACAGGTTTTCATTTCATATTATGCTTTATTCGATTCTCGGCTTCCTCATTGAAACAGTAAATCTGGTAACATTATTCTCTACAGCCTTACTTCTCATTTTCAAACTGTGACATCGATTCCTTTCTGAAATTTAAGGAATCTTCCCCAAACGGGCCCAGATAAAAATGTTTTCTTCCACCCGTTAAAAAGTCGGTCTTTGACACTTCTGATAACTGCACTATCGGAGTGTTGAGAATGCAACAGTCGAATTCTATTCACGAATGCCGAGTTTGGGAGAATTATGTACATCCCCTGTTCAGAAAAAGTAACTCTTGACCCCTCACTGTCCCCTAGAACAGGGAAGGAGGCTGCACGGAGGTCAGGGGGCAACTGTGCCACTGTTTGGCAAAGTGGTGTCACCCCGCGCGATGCGAACAATATCGGGCTGGAAAAGTGCAAGTGGATTCTCCTCTGTAAACTCGGCCCGCAGTATCTGGATTTCACGATGAATCTCTAGGCTTTTCGGCTCCACTGAGGCCTGCGGATGATCCTGCGCCGCTGTGACTTGCGTCATCTGAGTTGAAACATTAACCTTCTGTGACTTTTACCAAAATGGTAACGAAGGTTGTTTCATCCACAGAATTAGTTCGTGCTCATTTGGGTGCTGGGAGTTGGCAAAGATTCACACCCATTCATTTTCAGACCTCTGCCTAAGACTGGGTTTTGCAGGGGCAGAGATGCACACGGATCATTCTTGTCAGCAGTGTCTAAAAACTGGTGAGCGAAGGGAAAGCCACAGCAACCAGTTAAAATTGATTTGGAAGGTAGGGGGAAAATTGGAAACCTTGAAGATTTCAACAAGAAAATTGGAATTACCGTATCCCTTCCGACACCTACTGGAAACAAAGAAAGTTTGTCCTTGCGCTGGTGCTATTAGGGATCGGCAGGGACTATATGTCCCACACCTGTCAACGTCCATCAAACATGGCTGCCGCGAAATGCGGTATAACTGACCAATCAACTCACGTAAACGAGGCTTGAGTGAAGGTTGAAGGCAAGGTGCGACCTTCCAGGACAACTGCTGGGTGACAAAGCGGTTGAAAAATGGACGATCTGTCATGATTCAGAGAAAAGAAAAAGAGTGTGAAGAGGAGTTGATTTCACGTTCATTCTGCCGTTTTATGTCTTATTTTGAAGAAATTACAACTTTCATAAAACTAAGAACTTAATTGTACTCGAACGTGGACCCAGCACATGTCATGTAAACCATTCTAGCCTGCATGATGGCAAACAAGTTCAGGTAATTCACCTCAAGGATCTGATTTGCCATGTCCTTTATTTTCGTCGGTCAATGACGGGAAATGAACCGAAATCGAAAACAAAGACAATGTGGAAGCGCTTGGAACAAACAAAAATTATGTCAACAGAGAATGTAAAATACGGGAGAGAACATTAAATATTGGGTTCCGGTGTGACTTCAGGACTGGTGAAATTTAAAAAGAAAAAGACTCTAATAATCTCCACCTTCAAATCATTCCAATACCCAGTCATTTCAACTTAAATCTCTACGAATGTTTTAGTGGGTTATCAAGCTGTTTGAGACTGTGCAGCATTACCATTTTAATAGAGATACAAGGTGTAATTTATGCTAAGGTGAAATCTGACGTGGTAGACTATTACGGCCCGGCAGCGTGTTGCATGACAATGTCACTGGCTAGAGGCCGAACGGTGAGGGCGTCTCTGGAAAGGGGAAGGGTAAACGTCTGGCATAGTCCAAGACCATTCCTCCACCGCACGGAGCCAGTGATCAAGAGAGAATACAAGGACAATTCATATTGGTGAATCTTTTTTCTGCAAAACCGAGAAAGGGGAACATTGACACACGTTAATACCTTTGAATGTCGTGATGACAATCCAAAGGCAGGTGTTTTCGACGGTTTTCCTACTGGAACAGTGGGGGGTTTTCGCGGTTACCGCAATAATGGGCCACCAGACCATACATTTCGGCCGTACAGATCCACTTGGTGAAGTCAAACCGTTAAATAAACAGGCACAGTTTGAAAGAAATTCAGCCCAAAACCTTGTGGTCTGTGGGTTTGAAACCCAGGAGCCCAAGGTAGCCATTTAGAAAGTAGAGTTCTTGGATTTGTCTTATAAATCGAAGAGGGAAACTTTCCAAACTGAAAGCAGTTGCAACTTCAAGCATGGTTTAGCGTTGGCGGAGTCGAGGAAAAACTCAAGTCTCTTTGGCTCCCGATTTTTCATTATCAAAGTTTCTTACATGTTTTAAAGGCAAGTATATAGTTCTTCTACCACAATTTATTTAATTAATAGAAGTAGATGTATCCAACTTAATTGTCAAGTAACGATAGAACCTTGGTATAAATTTCATCAGATGCGTTGGGGGAAGTAGTGATTCGAGTTCATCCTTTATACCCGGCTGCCTTTAGCAATCAGCTACGCCATTCGTTATGCCGTTTGCATCATGTTTAACCAATTACGGTTCGTACTTGGAGTATCAAAATGATATTCAATATATTAGGCCTTGTAAGGTCGGGTTAGGCAGGGAATCAATCACAAATAGCGGAGATAATCCCTCCCCTGGCGTCTTCGCTGGAATCTTCGCGGCGAGTGCATCATCCCCACGGCCGCGTTATGGACGCTCCTTTCGGGCCGGACAACGGAGATTCCAATTTGAGGGGCAATATCTCAAGCACTTAAGGCGGGCATTTGCAGGCGAACGCCCAAGGAGACCTGCGTGCTACTTGGATTTGACGGCATAGCTGGTCTGGACTTTGCGAAGGAAAAAAAAAAGACGTTTTGTGTGTGTGTGTGTGTTTTTTTCCGTTCCCGGAGATTACCGGACGAATGCTTGGAATGACAGTTGTAATTGAAATCAGTTCCCAATTTATGATTGCAGTCGGGACAGCCGCTCACAAGATCCGTCCGGATAGTGACTGGAATTTTTTCGAAGCAAATGAGTATACATTTACGGCTTTGTAGTTGAAACAAAGACCCCGCACAGGCATCCATGTTTGTTTACAATTAAAGTGAAAACAGTGGTATCCTTCGATAAGCAGGGTTACGTATCGAAATCTGTCGACGACTTATTTCCTGAAATGATGGTCTTTACAAGAGTACGAAGAACCACGTCAATAAACAAACTATTGGTGGAACTGAAACGTATGTGATTAATCCATCGTGTGTCCGTTAAACCACCTCAATCCATATACTTCGGATAAAATGGTTAGGGCTATGAATTTTCGAACAAAGCGTCTTAAACCGAGCATAATTTCATGTAAATCCGTTTGCGGTGTTGATATGTTAAGTCGTGTCTGAAGTGCATGTTACTTTAAGTCGTGTTCAGAGGCGGTGCAGCTTGTTACAATTCACTGGATGGCCCAAGAATATGCCTCCTGAGAATTTAATACCTGAAGATTAAATTGTTCAAATTTAAAGTTATTTATAAACAACACTCTTATCAAAGGTGACAGGGGGGGGAGTTGCAATACCAAATTTGTAGCTCCGATTCCCGCTGAGAAACGAGGCACGTTATCCAGGGAGAATGATGCCAAGTTCGCTGCTGGGAATCTTACAAGGAGGAGGGGAAGGGTTCTTTAGTTTTCGCTAAAAGAAGCGAGGAGAAAGATTTACAGCTAACCATGGCCTTGTCAGAGCGGCTTGGGCTGGAAATGACTTCATTTATAAAAGGTTCCGTAAATGTTTAGATTTGTAACAAACAGCACTAAATCCAGCCGACAACCAGTGGCAATTTATATTTTGAACATCCCTTGGAAGAATTCCGACTACTCGGAGGCCTGATTTAGAAGAAAGGGAAAAAATTGAGGTGAGGCTGGGCCGAAAGAACAGGATCACGAGGGACTAATGGGGTGGTATCATGTACCCGGGGTACGGGGTTGACAAAGAAAAAAGTTGGGAGTGGGAGGGGTGGTGGCTCAGAGATGACGTAGTGATAAAAGGTGAAAGGTCGTGAGCATGGGGGTGTGTTGATTTAGGGAATAAGTGGTGAGGAGGGACGTCGTGGTGATGGTTTTGATAATGCTGATGATGCTCATTTGGTGATAATGGGATAATTGACAAAGGTGGTGACGGTAAAGATGACAGGAGAGACAACAATGACAATGGCTACGCTGATGTCAATGGCGGCGACTATAGTGTTGCTGGTGTCACAAATTGGAGTTGCGGAGATGCACCGTGTCAATTACAAATTCTTGGTGCAACCAGTGAGTTACAAGACCGACATCATGTTGGTGGCTGAACTCATTAAAACTGTCGTGATTTTTATGCTCACGTAAAGGGGATTTGGTACCACTGATATGACAATATTAAACTCCTTCAGAAACAAAACAACGAAATTGTGCTGAATACTGTTGAAAACTCCCTTTAAGAGATTCCGACTTATCCTTCTTCGAGACAGGAGCCCTCGACCAGCTCACAGCCAGGGATAACGACACCTTTACATTAACCAGACTCTTCCCTTCAAACATATGGCTACAATCTTCTCGTTCGCGGAAATGAGTTTCCGTGTTCTTCAATTCACTGATTTTCCTGCCGTTCACAGCTCACCAAGCCCAGCGTCCGGTGGGAAGGCCCCGGTCAATTTAGCGCAGCACGGCAAGCCGGGTACCTCGGGCGACTCCGAGGATACGCCCTGCAGACAAAAACACCGAGACTCGAAGCCGATCGCACCCGCGTTTTGCAGAAGTGGTGAGAGTCGCACGTCCGGTTACAAAGAAGGAAAAGCCATGGCTCCTTGAAATTATCATATTGTAGGATTTGGCTTCACATCCCTCAAACTTAAGAACAGATTTGAAGGGATGTCACTGACATCCACTGTTTAACTTACACATGCTCAGAATATCAATGAATACAGGATGACAAGTAGCGAAATGGTCTCTTTCTTCATTTCCCAACTTTTTGTCCTAACATCTTGATCATCTAGGCCTATATGTGACAAAATTAATGAACGGATTTAGCCATCCAAAGGCCCCCGTAAAAGACAACGTGCGAAAATTTAAAACTGAAGAACACTTGACAAAATGACGTTATAGTTATAAATAGTTACGCGGCATTCGGTGACCTCTTCGGTTGATTACTCATGAGTGAAAAACAGATACACCCACAAGTGAAGAAATCAAAACTTGGTTAAAAAAGACGCTGGTCTTCCCCCCCCCCGCGTTACAAAGAGCTGTGAAAAACATGAGGAGGTGAGATAAATTAACCTGTGATTCTTTGAATTTACAATCTTTACCAACAAGGCCTTCATATTGTGTCAGTGAAGCATACAAACACATTACGGTTGGCAGAGGCATGGGATATTGCCCAACCCTTGACCAAACATAACCCGGTAACAAGACTGGTGAATAAACGGGGTTGTACTGTAAAGTCAAGTGTAAGCGCAGTCTGGCAAATGAAAATGGTTTCTGTAATATACTTGCAAACACCTGTGAAAAGGAAATTGAGGGAAAAAACCAATGCGTTTAAAACATGTAATGTTCTCCGGAATAACCGCTGGCTATGGCGTGACTCAAGAGGATCGGTTAACCGTGGAACGGCTTGCGGCCACGGCAGACTCATCTCCCCGTTCGCCGAACACCTATTTAACGCTCCAGTTGGCAAGAAGAGGTAAGAAGAGGGCTTGTGCGATGAAGATGGGCAGGGATATTAAAAACGTCCGATGCGGGGAAGCCGGTCATGGCTCCGGGCTGAGGCCTGCGGTCACGGGCAGCTTACTAATCCGTGGATACACTGCAGTATTGCTCCATGTGAAGGAGAGGGTTAAAGGTCGACACGGCCTGAATATCGGTTTCCTCGTGCGAGTGACGGTTTGACCGGCTCCTTGAGATCCAGCGATAAAATTATAAATTGTAATTATTTATCAACGTGTGTTGTGCCTATTTTTTCCTGTACTGTTGCAGAGAAATCCACGTAATTACTCCAGTAGGGGCACTGTAATAACGAATGGAGAACACTGTGAGACTTCTCTCCCAACCGACTACGATTTTAAGATTGTTGAACTCTTGGAATCTTTTAGAATGTGCAAAGATGTAACTAAACATGAATACTTAGGCATATTAAACGATCAGGATCGT